TAACCAAAAGGTCGGCAGTTCGAATCCATCAGCCGCTCCTTGGAAACCCTATGGGCCAGTTCTGCTCTGTCCTATTGGGTCGCTATGAGTCAGAATCGACTCAAGGGCAATGGGTTTGGTTTTGCTTGGTTTATAGGTATACTCTATTGGTTCCAACATTGAAGTCAAGACACTTGCTCCTATTCTAGTCTTCACCATACATTAATTGCATGACTTTCTTACTTCAGTGCCCAGAAGTGAAATGCAAATTTCAAGTAGTTCCAAGTTTCAAATGAGATCATATATATTGAAATATTTTGAAAACCGCTATACTGTATAAAGAACTATTGTCATTTTGTACTTATGTACTACTCTATTTTGTCACGAGAAATTTTAGTTCTCATGTCTTCCCAATTCTTTAAAAATAAATAAATAAACAAAACACCTTCCCTGAATTTTTGTTCCTCCTTATTGCCTATAAGAAGCCCTGGTGGCGCAATGGTTAAGTGCTTGGCTGCTAACCGAAATGTCAGTTCAAACCCACCCAGTGGCTCTGCAAGAGAAGGATCTGGCAATCTGCTTCTGTAAAGACCTCACTTATATAAAACGACAGGAAAAGGCAAATGTATAGCAACCAAAGTTTATTAGTGGTCACCATGGGTGGGAGGGAGGGAAGGGGGGATGTTAAAGGTGATGGGAAAATTGCATTGATTAAAGGTGGGGTTGCACGGCGAATTGTTGTGGTTGATATCAAGGAGTTGTAAACCTGTGGGAAGTTGAACTAGCAAAAGTTGTGTGATAGATACATTTACAACAGCATTCTTTACATTCCCAGCTACTCATTTGTTTGAATAATGTTTCTTAATACATGCTCCATAAAAATGAAAAGAATTGATGCAGAATGACTCTACCCATAAGTCCTATTCATCCAATGATTTATGAACCAATTGGGGAAATAATCCCACCATTTCATTAAGAGAAAAATTTCCCATAAAATTTTACTTTTAAATTTTAATTATTTATTGAAGTTTATATATCTGTGTTATTTGGGTCAATTTAGTACAAATAATAATTATACTGATAATTCAGTCTAGAGTAAAATGTTAGCCCTTGGAGCTTTACAGACATGGAAATTAAAAGAAATAATTTAGATATACATACATGTATTTGTTGCACAAATGATAGAGCCATTATTAGAGATTTCAAGTCATAAATATGTATTATATTTGCATAAATTTCTGTGAGGGAATTAGAATACAAATACAGGTTTAGGAGAAAGAAACCCAACGACAAACTTAACAATTATTAAAGAAAAACTTCCTCATGTGTTCTTAAATGGATAATAATGGATAGCATATCATTATAATTTTAGATTTTTATTTTATTGAACATTTCTAAAAGTAATGTAATATTTTATTTTACTGTCAGTATCTACAATATGCCAGGTATTACATTTGTTGCAACTCTTTAAACCTGCAATACAGATTTTGGATGACGATTTAAAAAGCTTCATGGGGACATATAGATTTTCAAAATTATTTTAGGGAGCACACAAATAAAAACTGTGAAGATGACTATACTCAATCTGTACCTCTAATGCAACTTTTGGCCATGCCCTGAAGGGATAGACCCTCACTATGTTATTTGTGAGCATTATGGCATCAGAGTCCCTAAAGGCTTTGGGGTGGTTGTGAGTGTATGTGTATTTGTGTCTGTGTGAGAGACAGGATGTGATAATGGGCTGTTTTGGGAAGACAATTGTTGTTTTAGTGTGGCAGGTGGAAGACAAGTAAGAAATCACGTACTGTTATAAAAGTCAAAGCAATAGAACAATGACCCTGTAGGACAGGGTAGAACTCTCCCATAAGGTCTCCAAGGAACAGCTGATGGATTCGAACTGCTGACCTGTTGGTTAGCATCCAAGGGCTTCAATAGTACAAGATTAATTTAATCATTCTTTCTAAGTGTGATAAGTACATTTAATATGTCTCTACTTTAGACAGAGATTAACATTGGAAGGCCAAGGGTAATGGAAATGCTGACGGAAAGATATTATATAATTCATTTTTTACCTGTATTTAATTTTTTTCTATTAAAAAAGTATGGTACCTCTCAAGGCTGAATTAACTCTTTCAAGTTTCAAGAGTTTAATGCAATATCCTAAAACTACTTTGTAATATACAAGTTTACTTACCAAAGGACTCTACATACATGGTTGGGGATAATTCTTTAGGTGTTAGTACTTCCATGATAATACAGTAAGCTAGTTGTGTTCATTAAATTACATTTTTATACCACATAAACTATGTAATATTAGTCTTTAAACACAGCAAACTCCTTGGGAACATACATAAATTTTACTTTGTACTTATCCACAGTACCTGGGAAAATGTGCTCAGTAAAATAGCTCTTAATATTTTCTTTTCAGCTTTGGTCTAAAACTTAATCCATGGTTTTATAGAATAATTTTTAAATATAGGAATTAATGGTGGGTAATAGTCCTGGAATTTGCCCATGAGCTGAAATAAAAGAAGTCTAATAAAATGTTTCATAGGCAAATGGTATCAAGGTAACGGGTTCCGTGGCTACAGTAGAATTAAATACAAATGTCATACCTTAACCAACCACAAATGTTATTAAAGTTTTCTGGAATGTATATAACATCACCAGTTCAGTAATCAATCACATGAAATTATAATTATTGATATACCATCTTGATATGCAAGACAACATTCTTATTTAACCCCTTCAGAATCCCTTCTTTTTTCCTGAAACCTGTCGGAAAAGACAAGTGCTTCAGGGTCTTGGAATATAGAGAGCTCCAGTGGGGAAAGAGGAGATGTCTGGAAAAAACTTAACCACTGCTCCTTATATTTCATCGGTCTTTTATAGTAATTGCTGTGAAATAATGTTGCTTATTTCTATGTCAGATATATCCTAACTTACACATGAAATTGGTTTCATCCTTCAAAATAAACCTTTGTAAGACTGAAAACTTACTCAAGTGATTCCGCATTATTTGGGGAAACAATCTTTTATACTGTCTTGACACAAGGAAATTAGAAACATTATTTCTGTATTACCTTTTTACTAAGTTTCCCATGATTCATTTGGTGGAATTTTCTTTTGTTGTCATAGTCTCCTCTCCCTAAACCATGCCCCGAATTCCTGGGAATATCTAAAGTGCTAGAAGGCATAATATCCCTAGTCATTCTGCTTAGACTCTTATCAAGCTGTCCTAAGAAAATATTTATTTAAGATAAAAATAACAGAAGCATTAAATCACTGAATAGTCCAAGAAATATGAATTCCTCATGTTTCCAATATTCCTTTTAGAGAATCTTCCCCTGTTCTCCTGGAGTGTATGAGACTGGGAGTTTCTTGTGCTTGGCTTCCCAGTAGCCTGTCTTAAGTGAAACCTTGCCCTTCACCAGCTCTATGTTTTTTTCCATTCATTCAAACCCTGAGACAATTCCCATTTGTCTTTCCTCAGCTGTGGGTCTTGCTCCCTTGATAACTTTACAGTTTACTATTCATTTCCATTCTAGCACCTGGAACAGTGCAAGCACATAGTGGATGCTCATTAAATATTCATTGAATGAACTTAAGAGTGAATTCATCCATAGACTTCCGTTTGATTCATATTGGAAGAAAAGGGGAGAAAAAATTTTTCTTGATGTAGTACAGTCTCTTTTTCTTCTCAAAGACCACCATCTTTGCTTTCTTTTTCTCTAGTTTTTTATCAAGGTAGAGTCACTTCTGGCCTCTCTTGGAATATTTCTTCCCAATCAAACGTCAGATTTCCCCATACCCATGAAAATTTCCAGTAATGTTGCCTTCCTTGCTAATGACAATCCATGGCTGAGTCATCAGTCAATCGATTACAGCATGGCCAAACTATTGTTGTACAAACTCCTCTAAACTGATATTTCTATTATTCCTCATCTCCTTCCTTGGAACTTCTTCAGAAAAGGTCCATGATGTACTCTGCAGGGAGAAGTGAATAATGGGAGTTTTACATGGAATCGTATTTTGAGCCAGAAGGAGTCTCACCTATAGTTCCATTCTAGGAGTTAGAATGACAAATGTGAATTCTGTATGTGTGCTAACGACTGTTGTTGTTTTTGTGTGCTATCAAGTCGATTCTGACTCAGTCACTTTATATGACAAAGTAGAAATGCCTCATAGGGTTTCCTAGGCTGTAATCTTTGCTGGAGCAGATTGCCAGCTCTTTTCTCCCATGCAGACACTGATGGGTTCAAACCACTGACTTTTTGGTTAGCAACTGAGCGCTTAACCATTCTGTCACCAGGACTCCTTGTGCTAACAACTTTGTGGTATAGACTGGCAGGAAGACGTATTGGTATGTGTGGAGATCTTTAGATAGATAATTAGATAGATCAATAGATGAACAGAGAAGTGATGGATAAATAGACAGGCAGACAGACAGACAGATAGTTAAATAGATAGACCATATCCATGTGTTATGCATCAATTATTATATTGGCCAAACCTTTACCAAAACACCACAATATAGTATTGGCCTATGTTCCTGTGTGTATCAGATGTATTTTAATATTATTCATCTCTACCATATGCCAGCTATATTAGGCGTTTAAAATTTTACAAGTTCCTGAGAGAGTGATTGATTTGGTTTTACATTCTTGAAAATGCCACATCCCGTTACTTTAAAAGCAGATTATATATATTCCAAGGCAGAGGCATTATAACTATGTCGGTAGCACTGTGCAGAGGCTAGAAATTCATAGCTTTCACCAAAGTACATTCTCACTTCAATGACTCATATTTAAAGTTACCGCTAAAATGTTTCTTCTAAATGAAGTAATATTTAAGCTATAATTTCTAACCGAGGAAGACAACCATTCCCTGATGAGACAGTTAGGGATCTTGTTTTGCATTCTATCATCACATTTTGAAAATCTACCTTTGGGTAAAGTTCAGAATGTCAAACAGACTACCCAAATAAAAGGCAGTATCGCCAAGACCTCATAATCATACAGCAAGGTAAAATTAAAATGATGTTATGTTCCGTTGAGTGCACACACTGGAAAACCCTCTGAAATATATATTTAACTAGTAGAAAGAGTTATTTCATTCTAATGGATGAAAAGTATTCATTCTTGTATATGTACGTGTATAATTTATTTAAGTGCTATTTGGAACTATCGCAGTCTAGCAAGAATATAATAGTATACATTTACTTACTTCTGTCCCTAGGCATCTGTCATTTTGTCGTACTGTGGTGGCTTGCATGTTGCTGTGATGCTGGAAGCTATGCCACCAGTATTTCACATACCAGCAGGGTGAACCCTGGTAAACAGGTTTCAGTGGAACTTCCAGACTAAGACAGACTACGAAAAAGCATCTGGAGGTCTACTTCTGAAAAAAATTGGCCAGTGAAAACCTTATGAATAGCAGCGGAACATTGTCTGATATAGTGCTGGAAGATGAGCCCCTCAGGTTGGAAGGCACTCAAAAGATGAGTTAATGATGTGGGTGTAGTCAAGCTTTTGGGACCTTCATTTACTGATGTAGCATGATTCTAAACGAGAAGAAACAGCTGCAAACATCCATACATAATCGGAAAGTGGAATGTATGAGTTATGAATCTGGGAAAATCGGAAGTCGTCAAAAATGATATGGAACTCATAAAGATCAACATCCTAGGTATTAGTGAGCTGAAATGACTGGTGTTGGCCATTTTGAATCAGACAATCATATGATTTACTCTGCCAGGAGTGACAAATTGAAGAGGATTAGTGTCGCATTCATCCTCAAAAAGGACATTTCAAGATCTATCCTGAAGTACAATAGGATAATATCCGTACCCCTACAAGGAAGACCAGTTAATACCAGTATTATGCAAATTTATGCACCAACCACTAAGGCCAAAGATGAAGAAATTGAAGATGTTTACCAACTTCTGCAGTCTGAAATTGATCCAATATGCAGTCAAGATGCAGTGATAATTACTGGTGATTGGAATGCAGAAGCTAGAAACACAGAAGAAGGAATAGTAGTTGGAAAATATGGCCTTGGTGATAGAAATGATGCTGGAGATCACATGATAGAATTTTTCAAGACCACTCACTTCTTAATTGCAAATACCTTTCTTCAACAACATAAACAGTGACTATATGCGTGGATCTAGTCAGATGGAATACACAGGAATCAAACTGATTACATCTGTAGAAAGATACAATGGAAAAGCTCAATATCATCTGTCAGAAAAAGCCAGGGGAAAACTGTGGAACAGACC